CTCAAGGTTAGTCGTCTTGGATGCTCAGAAATAAAAAGGTGAACATTCATCGTCTCTTCCTTAGTTGTCACCATCAATAGATTGTGGACTTCTCAGAGCATGTCTTGATTATGGAGTTGAAAGTTGAAACAGCAGTGAGCAAATCATTTATCATTTTGATACTATGATTAATTTTAGAGAGTTGCACACTTGAACTTGACACCTGCCATTGATAAGTTCATGGCTCTTGCATTCTTCAGTCACATTTAGGACGGCCTCTTAACTATTTAAATACAAAAATAAAAATACTACAAGAATTAGAAGACTATTAGAATTAGTTTGGCATATCAATTTATTTCTCCACCCGGAACGAATGGGCGCTGTTCAAGGAGGCGTTGTTATTTTTCAAGGTTTCGATAAAAACAAGTCGACAGATACAGAAACTTCGGAAAAGGCGGAAACGTCACAGGTTTTAAGTGCCAATACCAATACATTGTGGCACTTATTTGCACAGATGTCAAAATCAAACACAAATTTCTTTGCGATGAAGTAATTGCTGGAGAAACGGTTTTCACGGCTCTGATTTTCAAAGAACGCCCATCAAGATGGCCATCTCAACTCAATTCTAATGTTAAGGTGGGACAGTCCCTTTAACAACCAACTTCAAAATTTGACCTCACTTGACCTGACCTTGACCTGACCTCGACCTGAAATTCATCCAGAGGTGGTCTATATCACTTATTGAGTGTGCCTATTGAATTCTATGAGTAAAATGACCCATAAAACATGTGTCGCACATGCCCTATTCTATATTTTGTTTTTTGGTGACCTGACCTGACCTGACCTGACCTTGACCTTGACCTCTGAATGATATTGTATGCAACGAATATTGTCTTGGTAGCTTAAGAACACGTTTTGGGCGATCAGTCTCAGTCCATGACTCCATTCTTCGGCAACTACGGTGCAAGGCCGATACTGTAGAAACTTGCAATTTGTACCCTTGACCTGACCTTGACCTTGACCTCAAACTTTAAATTAAGTACATGTTTTAAGTTGTTCGTGATGAGAGCTTTCGATTGGCGTTTGAATTTTCCAAATCGGACCATTAGTTCGGGAGATAACAGGGGGGGGGTAAAATTTACCCCCCCCCCCAGCCCCGCGCGTTCGGCTGGAGACCCCAGCCCCGCGCGGGTTAAGGGTCAGGTCCTCCGTCTTGTGTTTTTCTACCGTGGTATATCAGTTTTCCATTATAGCGTTATTTGTCAATACATGTCTCTGAGCAGTGGGCACATATTCGTCATTATAATCCCATACGCCTCCACACCCCCTTAAGCAATTCGATATCCATGATTTTGCCAGTGATGTACTGCGATCGTTGCATTTAAAGTCACGGCTTAATATTGGATGTGAGATTCAATTGTCGATACTCGCTTTGCGAGTCACGATAAAAGGGACTTCGAAGTCCGTGTTCCTTTACAACATTGATACAGCGGATGCCCAATCTATCAGGATTCAATTAAGGCACCCAAGGAGCTATTTAGAACAGTTTATGTGGCCAGATCAGGCCGCTGCATCGGAAAATGGATGGCGTCAAATGGGCCATCCTCTCCACTGCGATAGCGAGCCAGCTGAGCACGGCACCGCGCTCGCTCGGTCGCGGTATAAAGTGCGTTTGATCATGCCACCGAAGGAATGCCTTCAGTCGTAAGTGCTATTCATTCAGTCCTCATGAGCACATTTCCTGAAACGGTCCGCGGAGAGTGCTAGTGGCCGAGGCTAATGTCTGCCAGTCAGTTCATTTTCCCGACAACGGCTCGTCATGCATCGGGAACTAACTGGTCGGCTCATTGGAGTTGGCAAAGGATCATTGCACTCGTCATCAAATGAATGGTCGTGCAGGGGTCGAACTAGGGGGTCGATGTGGATCTACCTTTCATGAGGGCTATGAGTGCCCCATGCGTTCTACTTTAAATGATTCCAAATTATATTTTGGCAGGAATAGTGTCAATGTGTGGGAATCGGTACACTTAACAGGTTGCCGTTGATGCGTGAACCATATGTATGTGAGAATTACTAAAGTCACTGCATATGTATGTGAGAATTACATCATCCCTCCACGATGCACCTCCCTTCTGTGAGAGGTCACGGCGCGTTAGTTCAGCCACCCTCTATGGGAACTGGGTCGTCCGATCACGGGATGCGGTATGTCGGACGGTGGGCGGACTCGGCTCGAACTCGTCCCGCCGCGCCGGCCGGCTCAATACGGATATTGCGTGCCGATGCCCGCCAGTGAATAATACACGCACGATGCTGCAGGGACAGTCCGCGCGGCGTCTGACAATGGGCCAGCGGAGCGTCCCGACGGTGTTATAACGCGCTCACTGCGCCACATCGATTCTGCCAAAGCCCAGCGACACGGAAAGGGAGAGCCGTGCTTGTGATGAAGAAAATTAACTCCACTCGGATTTGGGTTTTCGTGTATGTGTGGATGCGATGAAAACGACTGTAGGAACTGTATTCAGCATTTGTATCTTACACACAATGGTTTGGTACTTAATATAACCATATGTTACAAAATATACGAATCTGATTAAGACACCGCAGGGTACCATTTAACATCGACTAAGCACACGCTCAGAAGCCTTCACGCATTTTGGCGTATCACTTGGCTGTTCTCAGTCATCGTGTAAGCATTTCACTCGCTACTTTCTCTGGCCGTTGATTCTGGTTAGTCAGCTCCCTTAAATTATAAATGTAATCCCATTACACACAAAATACTCGCCCATTGAAGTGATCGCCTAAGTATATCTTAAACTGTTCCGGTTGAGCCAAGTTCCTGAATGAACCAGTTACTGTAAAAGTTTCTAAAGCTTCGCTCGACATTATTTAAACGAAGTCGTTTCCTCATTTGTGTGCTGCTGGGATTCTGAATTATATGGTATCAAAAGCGCGCAGTAACATTTCAAAATCTTCTAAACACGTGTCGGGCAATGAAATTGAGTTAATTATTATCGTTGGTGCTAACATCGTTTGAGCTGCTGAGTTATTAGCCCAAGTTGAAGTTTGATTGATAAGATTCATTTTGAGTTTCTTTACCTGACAGTTGTAGGATCACTTACGCCCTAGCGAGTACATAAGTTCACGTGACGATTGGCATGATCGATAATCGAGTAGCTGCAGGCTCGATTATCGTCATAGGTCAGAGCCCAAACTGTCAATCGTCAGCTGACTTATCGTGTTGCCGCACTTAACGATTTTCTACACTTTTCAAGCGCGAGACAGACTTTTTCGAATTGCATTGCTTTTAACCTTTTAGAATCGGACAACGTAATGCATCGCATGCATTTTCTTCTCAGAAAGAATTGTGCAACACAAAACAAGCTAGAAAATCATAGCTATGACTGAGTCAGTCTTATTCAGTTGTTTTGTTTTAAATACAGATATCCCGCAATACTCTCTCCTGTGCAGAACAATAAAATGTTTGGGCACTAAATTTACACGCACGATCTACAAATACACGCACGATCCATACATTTTGTCATCTCATATGGCCAGTGGAATCGCTCAATGTAATGTGTTTAGTAAAGCTGAAGAAAATAAGTTTTTGGACTACAATGCAAAACACTGGCACTCCATTTCATATAACGGATTAGTTAGACAAGAAGTACACAAGTGACAATACACTGGCCCTATGGATGACCACAAAACCATTTCTCTTCCACCGACCTTTCTCGTGACTCTCCACGAATGCACCTGCACCACAGAAGAGGAGTGCGGGTCTTTGTGGGGGTCGCACTGACAACGAATACAAATAGTGCTAATCAGTTATTTGTGGTATGGATTTTCCGACGATTCTTATGCCGTTCCGGCGCGTCCCGGCTCATGCTCGTCTGCCATTATCTCCTTCTACCGCTCTGTTTGCACTCTCAATGCCTTCCTCGGTGCCCTCTTGCATTCCTGCTCTATCCTGCTTCCATTAGACTTTCTCGGGTCACCTCTCTTCCGATCTCTCTCTCTCTCTCTCTCTCTCTCTCTCTCTCTCTCTCTCTCTCTCTCTCTCTCTCTCTCTCTCTCTCTCTCTCTCTCTCTCTCTCTCTCTCTCTCTCTCTCTCTCTCTCTCTCTCTCTCTCGCTCTCTCTCTCTCTTTCTCTCTCTCTCTCTCTCTCTCGCTCTCTCTCTCTTTCTCTCTCTCTCTCTCTCTCTCTCTCTCTCTCTCTCTCTCTCTCTCTCTCCTCTCTCTCTCTCTCTCTCTCTCTCTCTCTCTCTCTCTCTCTCTCTCAACATCTCACTTTCTCATTCGGAATACAGAACGTAAAGGTATTGGTTACTCCTGTTGTACAAACTTAAGACCTTAGAGACTAATTATTTGACGATGTAATGCATAATAAATTCGTAACTCGGCCAGCTGTATCTCTTTCGATAAGATAACAACTATTCAGTCGCTACAAATACAGCGTTAAGAGCTGTGCGTTTGGGTTGCTCAAAGCAATCTGTACCTGATTTATAGTCACCACCATTCACATTACACTGGTTGAGTGTTTCGGAAAATGCCAGCGCCAGCTCCGAGGCGGTGGAAAGTTTTCGTGTTTAGCATAGTGGTACTGACAGCTCGAGACGCTGCTGTTGATAGCTTCAGCTAAGTTTTACACCCAGGCAGGACGAGTTTAAATCGACGTCGATCAGGAAGAATCGAACATTATATGTAGACGTGGGACGATGGCTTTCCAACTGATACAAGATTTACAGAATCCTGCCGCTTGTCTCGAATATGTGCAAGATCAGTCAGAGGAATTCGTGAAGAGCACATGCGTTTGTAAAAAATTTAAGGGCACTTGTAACCAAAGGTTGGTGCTCAGCAGTAAAAACACTATTCGCTAGAATTGTGGTTTCTATCGAAAATCAGCCAGTCTTTTTCCAATAATTGTTCACACTAAACGCAATCAAAGAATGTCTTTACCACTGGCCGGTTTTGTGACGGGCAATGGCATGCATCTGACCAGATCCGTCTTTTGTGTTTTCAGATCTGCCTCGTTGTCAAATAGAGCAGCAGACGGTATTCTTTCTACCGGGACGCAGCTTTGAGCTGCGCTGTCAACTGCAGGCCCGCCCCACCCAGGTCCGGTTCAAATGGGACGTCAACAGCACAGCTACTGAGTACCGGCGAGCGCCTCTGACTAGGTGAGAACTGAGAACCACCGCTGTCAGTGAGAGCCATCCTGGTGAGAACTACCAGTAGTGAGAACCACCCTGGTGAGAACCACCGCTACTGGTGAGAACCATCACTGGTGAGAACGGTGATAACCACCAAATAGTGGCAGTGGAGCCGTCCTACTCACCCTAACCAGGCTAGTCTCGCCTATCTGCAACACTGGAAAACTCTCTTGGGAGTGGCGATATAGGTAAACATTAGAAAAGATCCATAGGCACGTCAAATAGTCATACTTAAGAATTCGCATGTGATATCACACATTGCTGCATTTGCACATATACGATGTTACAGACACATATAGACGCATTTAAGATAATCATGCATCTGAAGTTTGTAGCGCAAATAGCATCATAAAATGGGTCACTACGTGACTACGTGAGGCCCACTGCACTTCAGGATCCCTTTAAGTCAACTCACTACATGAGGCTCCATACAGGCAGACAAAACTGGACCTAACTTTTAGTTTAGGTGGACTGGTGGCCTATCTCCACCAGCATATATCGAGCTCTGATTCACGGAACTCTAGTACGACAGGCTTCTGTACTTACATTTGCATTCGAGAAGCATTCAATTTAATTGGACAGTCTTGTTTGATTTGCGTCCTGCTCACACAATGTACAAGTTCGCCGCTTTAGCTGACATTCAGTCGGAAATATTCCGGGAGAGTCGCTCCCGAGAAACCCACTGACCCGTGGCTGCTATAAATTGTAAACTTTGCCATATGCATCTCCCGCTATCATATGCGCCGTTCCGTGTGTCCAGATTCAGCACCTCGGGCAGCTCCAGCTCCGTGCAGCACCGGCTGGACTCTGAGGAGTCGGCCGAGGTGCGCTGCTGGGGCAGCAACGCCATCGGACTGCAGCGGACTCCGTGCATTTTCCATCTGGAGCCGGCAGGTCAGTCGTCGCTGGGGCATTCCACGTCAAATCGAACAAAAATCGGCTGTTTTGCACCTTACCATCAGCGATTTCATTATCAATTTGTGAGCGAGTTCCTGTGTCGCCCCGAACATTACATTGATGTTTTTTTGCACATTCTGACCACAGGTCTTCTAAATATAGGGCATCGAATTTTTACAAAATGCTGCATCTTTATATTTTTGAACGACCATAACTTTGGTTGTACTTGTTTGATTTGAATGAAATAAACCTTACTGTTTAGGTAATTTCTCAAGCATTTGTTTAGAATTGCACCTACTTAAATATATGACCTTGAAATTTGCTTAACTCTGTTCTTAAGCACAAAAATTGAAATAGCAAAAAACACGTCACCTTCGATTTGGCTAATTTTCATATATTTTATTGCCTACCATATTCTTAACAACCTGTGAAAAAATTAGAGTGGGCCATTCATAAGTTTTGAAGAAAATGGCACATATGCAAACGTATGTTAGCACGCGCAGTGGAGGGGGAAGAGTGAATTTCGCCCCACCCCTCCTGTTTTTCGCCAATATCTCATAGTATTAATGCGAAATTAATTATAGCTACCTGTCCAAAATTGAATTGCACATCTCATCGTGCAAGCAAGAAGAAAATCGGTTCACAATTCGTCTAGTAATAGCGGTGTAAAGTGAACATCCTGTCGCCGCGGCGACGCGGCGACTCGGCAGCCGGCGCCGACCGCTAGCCGCCGCCTGAACTGTAGACTGTGCCGGGACGGAACGGAACGGTTCCGTCTTTACATCGCGCTCCTTACCGCTGATTACGTTCGATTCGCGTCAAATTTTGTGAGAAGACTAAGAAATGTACAGGCAATCTTATGGTGTTAGAATTTGGAAAATCGGTTGGTAAACAATTGAAATATGAACGTATAAACACAAAATTGTGATTGCTGCGTTTCCCGCGTCGGCCGATCCCGCCTCAGCCGGCGACATGTTACTCTTAGCAAGTCTCTAACTGCCATATTTATTATTGGATTAACTAGAAATTCCCCATACATACTCAAAAATGTATATTCTTTCGTATAGTGAAGATAAAAAGACGTGAAGATATCGTTGCGTGATAATGTTTTCGTTGAATTTTTGGCTTCATGATGCATTTCCACACGGCTCAAAATTTACCGCAAAATACCGTTTGCCTGAGACACTTTTACTATGGAACTTGAATGCTTGACTACGATGACTATGTATTTCCATTCTCGCAGAGTTTGGGATATCACTAATCAGCAATCATTCATTTCAGAAAGTGTACACAAGCAAGCATGTCTTGACTCTGTCTTTCAAGGTCACGCGCGGTTGCGTGATGTTGATGCATGAAAACGGCGTTTACCGCGAGAGTTATGAATGGCCCACTCCAATTTTTTCACAGATGGTTAGGAACATTGTGACGGACATAATATGTAAAAATTACCCGAATCGAAGGTGACGTGTTTTTTGCTATTTAAATTTTTATGTTTTAATTCAAGGTCAAATGCATTTCAAGGTCACTTCAATTTAATTTTATAATTAAAAATCAAAGCCTTATCAATTGCCTACAAGACCCTGTTAATATCATTTTGATACCAGAAAAGGAACCAGAGTTATAGACATTTAAAAAATTGATGTGTGGCATTTTTGGCTATATTCGATGACCTATATCTCAGCGATACTTTATCAAATTTCGAAAATATTATACGTAACTCAGTTTTGAACCATGCCCAGTCTGCCTACAAATTTTCAGAAAAATCGAAGGGGATGACGGATTTCGGTGTTTGATTTGACGTGGAATGCCCCCGCTGCCTCGTCCCCCGCGACGCTCGCTGACGGTCACTCGGCTACCCCCGCGGCGTCCCTGCCCGTTACTTAGTTACCCCCGCGGCGTCCCTGCCCGTCACTTAGCTAACCCCGCGGCGTCCCTGTCCGTTACTTAGTTACCCCCGCGGCGTCCCTGCCCGTTACTTAGTTACCCCCGCAGGGTCCCTGCCCGTTACTTAGTTAGCCCCCGCGGTGGCCCTGTGCGTCGGCCGGCCACATCCCGCGGTTTTTGCTGTCGTTCACCCGGGGAGGGCAGAGACCTGACTCAGTGTGGCGTACAGGCAGTACTTCGTGTTGTAGAAAGTACCCCATCTTATCATTCCAGTGCGACGGATCGTGCGTCAGCAAGGGACAGACTAATCAGTGCTCAGTGCTGTATAAACATAACTCGATACTGGTCGCAGTTTACAGTTACTGATAGGTGAACTCAAATTCAAATAAATAGCATTTGAAAACATATTCATTATGGGATGTAATGTTTTTACCTTCAGCAACAATGTAAGACCTTATTCCCCTTCCGGTGTGGCAGCCTTGCTGTAATTAGTTGTTACTTGCCTCTGTGATGGGCTAGACGATATGCCGATTTGTAGTCGACGTTTTTAGGAAGTTCCGGTGCGGCACATCAGCCGCCGTCGCAACTTTTGGTGGTTTTGTTAGCAACTGAAAGAGCATCGTAAGTCATCATTTGCCCTAAGGGCTTCTTCTTTGGCGTGAGTAAGCCACTCTTGTTAACACGAAGGTGGCCTCAGCTCAAAAGTCGGCCGTCCGTCAGGAGCTGGAGGGGTGTCGTCTCCCGACAAAACCACGATACTAAATATTCATGTGGGCGCCGCTAAGGCTGCGCCATTGTGAAAGGCCTGTCTGTCGCTTGTTTACTGTCAATGCTAGTGGCGCTAACCATCGCTAACTATTTAAAGAACATGTCGTTTTTATTTTCAAAGGTAACCCTAAAGCCCATCTGTAGCATAGCACACCTCAAAACAAGATCAATTGACGTGGGTCTAATTCCAAACCGATAAGTGCCACCCCACCACGGCTTGCGATGTGCCGCCGCTGTTGAAAGGAGCACCGGGTGAATGGCACATATCTCGGACGCATGTATGTCTGTTGCACTAGCAATAAGCATCAGTTATAAGACAAAGGTACACAAACCCAGTCCACATGACGTAAGTACGATCATATGCGACATAGCTCGGGGTGCGACCGGCATTGCAGTCGTGCCGACCGCAGTCGCCCGTAAGCTGGGTGACGGCTGTCCCGCACGACACAGACGCACTGCGGTACAGTCTACCAGTGCAGCTGTGGTGCCGCCTGCCATCTCTCGGCGAGATATCGAACTATGGAGCTGGCGCTGCACGCCTTGCAGGCAGCTAGCAAATAATGAATGATGAACGTCAGAATAGCATTGTTCTTGCATAAACTCTGTAATTACACGCAACGGGACATCATATGTTTCCGTAACGATGTATTTGTATGCCGTAATGCAACTTTGAGTTCCCTTAGCCCACTTGGTGGAGCATCGAGCTCTCAGCGGTGAGCCCTTGTTCGCATCGCTCGGGCGCTCAACATGTGAGACTCTTTTAGAGAATGATTTGCAGTGGGTGGAAGAAGTAGCAGCCACTTGAAGTTAGTTGAGTGGGATGGGCCATGTCTGGACTTGATAAGCGAGATGAACTTTGGATAAAGTCTCCTTCATTCCACCTGGAATTGCCTAATCGAATGGTGGGGTCGCAGCCTGCGCAACAAGCATTTCATGGATTCCGGCTCTGTCAATCCAGCCAATTAAATATTGGAACAAAATTAAAACAAAAATAGAAATATGTAAGATAGGCTCAGTACAACTGGCAATGACATTAACAATGACACGCCATATTATGTTAAAACTTGAAGCTTCATTGTAAAACGAAGATTAACTGATTGATAGTCCCATGATATCATCAACATGCTTACAACTGATAGTTCGTTTCATCCTATGCTTGCACTGTGCTTTGTTGTATTTCACATCTGTCTTTCCACTCTTCACGATTCGATAGCACGAATTATTTATCTATGGTAAATGTTAGTAAATATTTTAACAAACTGTCGACGCTTTAGGTGTTCCGGAGCCCGTGCAAGGATGCACGGTTAGCAATAGCACCATAACGTCGTTTGACGTCCGCTGCAAGCCAGGAAACGACGGAGGGCTACCGCAGACGTTTGTTCTAGAAGTTCGTGACGTCAACACACAACAGGTGAGTTGTTTAATAAGTCTCTATGACGATATTCACGTCAACAGCAGTGAAAGCGAAGACTGCAATTAGTTTCATACATAGTTGTTCAGAATGAAATCATTATTTATAAAAAAAAACTCACTTTAACATTCGCGGCAAAATAAAAACATCTAGTATTTTGTGACGCTATACATGGTACATTTTTTCGATCATATTTTTGAATACGTCATTACCCAAATACTTTGATTATGGGTTGTTGGATTTCTTGCTTTCCAGCCCTGGAAACGGTTGAATTCATTGTCAACTATATCGCACAAGTTGCCCGTAGCTCAACAGGCCGATGCTGGCTTACCGAGAACAATCACGCAACAAACATACCGGACAGCTATTTAACACGAGTGTGATCGTGTAGTTTCTGCTGGCATTCGTTGATAAACTGCAATTTACCATGCGTTTTCATGCGCAACGCATTTCTTATGGATAGCTAGGTGAACGAAAATTGTATATATTCCTATTTTCAAAATATGTTCCTTATCAGAATTGCCTTATGTCAGTTCGAAGGCAGCATTTATATACGTATAACATTGTTTAACGGTATTTAAGTTTAAAACACACATTATGATAAGCAAAGATACACAAATCAATAGTATTCAGCATGATTTAAAGTCAAGCTGGGAAGACGGCTTTGCCCGAACCATAAAAACGGCGCTGACTTAGCAATCAGCGTATGAATCACTCGCAGAACGCGTATAGGTTTGTTCCTGGTATACATAAGCAGTGTCGCCACGAGGAAGTGGGCGTGCTGGTCATAAAGTGTGAACACTTACAGCGTTTTGGGCGCTGAGTTAATATTCACGAACGTAATTGGTTGGCATTGTCGTAAATGACTGTTTCGTGCCGAATATTTTATGGATTTTGCACGCATGATGTAGTACCTGACGCACGCGACCACCTTTGTAGTGTTGTGCAAGACAAATCTGGGCCCTAATATATCTGAATATACATACAGGCATTCAGACTGCTGGAAGAAACATAACTCTGTAATTTGGAAACACTTAGGATATCAATTATTGTTAAAAAATAACTAAGTTATATGGTTTTACTTAACAAAACTGTCCGGATGACCTGCTCGCATATCTATTATTGAGATTTTACAACGGTCAGTCCGCAAATTCAATAGCAGTAAGACGCCTAAGCTTACGGCAATGTGCATTGCAATTTTTTTCGGACAGATGCCGCTTGGCAGTCCTGTTTGGCAATTTCACTTCTATCATTGATGCAGTATCAGTGATGTTCCATTTGGCCTGTTTTCAGGTGATACACTCAGTATCTCAGAAGAAGGCCGAGTTCCACGTCCGCGGTCTGAGTCCCGGGGCCAACTTCAGCGTGACGGTGTTCGCGTCCAGCGCCCGGGGCAGGGGACAGCCGCACGTGCTGCAGGTCGGCACTGTCACCATGATACCCGACAGGATCGGTGAGTTCTCCCTAAAAACGCAGTCATAATGGTGCTGGACTGGAACCATGGGCATGGGTCACTTAAGCACTACAGTAACGGAACTCTTCGAGGCACAAACATGTGGACAATGTCACGGTGCTACCAGACACAGTCGAGTGTAATTCTTGTTCTGGGGTTGCGCCAGGCGTTGTTTTCTTCTCCCCAGGATGGGGCGCACAACTACACACAACTAGTTTAAATTAACGACGCAAGTTGTCGTTCGCTCTCCGACGAGCCGCTGTTAAAACTAGCGCCAGGCCTGGAGCGTTTGTAGTTCAGTTTCCACCTTTGTTTAATTTTGTGTAGAATGGTGAATAATGAATGGCTGAAGGTCAAGAGCACCCACAGGCATATGGTGAGTTGGAACTTGGAAATGGTAGAAAATAAAATAAACTCCCACGGTGGTCGAGCAATAGCCATCCCCTGTGGGCGTGTGCCATAATGCAGTCTAAGCGAAGTCATTCATGCTCGCTTAGACAGTAGACTGGCACAAAAGCGATTTCTGCGACCAAGATTTTGCATTGGCATCTCAACTCAGAACCAAAGTCGAGGTTCGCTAGCTTAGGCAGACTATAAGGTGGTGTCTGGTGTGTAAATTATTTGTGACTTGACTTGTAGTAAAAAAAAAAAATATGACGCTATCGTTTTGCGCAAGGACATTTAGTCCTAGTAGGATATCAGTCTATTGCTACATGGATGATGGCAAAAGGCTTAAAATTAAGCACAAATGCTCGTAATACTTGTCGTTGTTTGACCTTCAACGTGGAGTTGGTCTTTCTGTGGATTGACATCAAAGTATGCTTCCCATTTATGTTCACCCATTCATGCGTTGCGCATTGTGCTCTCAGTATGTATTCTGCCTTTCTGACAGCCGCTATAAATGGCCCGCCCTGTACCGGTCACAGGAAGTTCCAGCTTCTGGCGGCAGAGCGATGACCTTTCCGAGCACGCCGGCTCTTTCATGCCCTGCCGGACACTCCATTCACCACCGCCCTCGAAATATTTCATGAAGCCGCTCAGGCTTCAGCCGACCCTTCCCTGAAACGGATCGCCCGCGCTCAATACCGGGGCCGGCGGCAAGTTGGGCTCCGTGTGGGCGCTTCCGACCGGGTCATACACACTCGCGCCGGAGCGCCACGCCGCAGAGCGGTCCCCGATTGAGTCTGAGCAAACTTGCCGACCGGCCGGGCGCGCTGATGTATCGCCCCTGGCAGTTTGTTCGGCTGTGATCGTGTGCCGCCGGCTTACCGGGCGCGATCCCTTTATTGGCTGGCGCCGGTCCGCCGGACGGATTGTTGAACACGCAGCGCGCGGCGCCCTTCACTCGCTGCCAATCACCCGGTGTCCTCTGTAATCCTGCCGGCGGCGCGACGCCCGGCAGCAGCGCTCGCTACCATCGATCCCAAGAAGCACATCCTGATCCACGGCAGAGCGCCAGACAGACTGTGGTGGGTGAGGTGCGGGCTGCAGAGGCACCGGTCCCGGCTGAGTGTGCTGACCAGATAACGGGAGACGGTGATTTCTCTCACCCTGCCCCGCTGACCTGACCCCGCCCGGCCGTTCTCCAGCGTACAGCCGGTCGGCGGCCGCTGGTCCCGTGGCAGCCGTGCTGGGAGGACTGGTCCTGCTGCTGCTGCTGCTGGCCGCGGCAGTGATCGTCTCCCTGCGCCGTCGACTGCCGCGCCGGGGACCGCTAAAAACGGCCGAGCAGGAGGCGCCGGAGGTTACCGGCAGTGGGCGCGACCAGCCGAGTCCAGATCTCCTGCCCACAGGTCAGTGGGGACGCGCCACTACCTGGCTTCACCTGACTGCGCATCTAAATATGTAATGGTGACTGCAAACACATTTACATCAGTTACTCGTATATTTACTCATAACTCATAATTCAGTTCTACTTCTATTCGGGATCCAGTTAAAAAGCTTGGTCTCGTATGCATAAATAAGGACACACGTTCCTGAACTGTGCCGTATTTCCAGGTTCCGGGGCTCGCAGTCTGTCCGGGTTTTCCGACTGCAGCGTAGTTAGTTCGCCGCATCAAATGACCGCTAATTACAAGGTAAGACTCTGGTAATTACCGCGGCTGCTGGTCGCTGATGCCGCCAGAGACAGCCGATAGGATACCCGAACCTGTGGTGCAGGTCGGCGCACCGTTGTCTGCGCCGGAGAGGCGAAACGCTGAGGTCCAGACGACCACGTCTCGTTCCTGGATTTTATTTTTCAAATAGCCGCGAGCTGAAGTGCACTTGACTTGGCCTGTCATGCCGCGATGAAAACATATAGACGGGAAAGATATTTGCTCTGATGCAATGACGCTATCTGTTCAGTCTGTAGTGCTGCCTTTTTCATGTTGAAATTCATAACTGATGGCTTTCGCCATTGTAGCTGAAGTGGAAGAGACGTTGTGTCCTTCATCACCAGTCATGATCAATAACACTCAGAACTTTTATTTCCTTTATATATGCAGCACACTTTGTACCTACATTATTTATGGTTGGTTGACATTACACATTGGCACAACAAATAAAGAGTGAGGCAAGTGCAATTGTCAACATTCGGGTATACCAAACTTAACTTGCATTGCAAAATAGCGCTAAACTATACTCAACTTACAATTGCAACGTTTTGCGTCACAGTCGCGACTGAAGCGGACAGACGAGGATATGTTCGAGTCAGCAGATCACGTGATCCCCAACCCGCTGGACGTCTACGGGCACCGATCTGTGGACCCGGTACGGACTGTGGGGTCACTGGGGCGCGACCCGGCCCGGTCAAGGTCGGCCCACATGCCCACTAGCGCCGCCTATCGGACATTCTCAGACTGCGGGCGGCTGACGGTGCAGGACCGGGACCACAGCGCCGTCTGATTGGCGCTCACAGTGACTCGCCGACTGTGATTGGCCGAGGTCAGAGGAAGTGCTGTGTGATTGGCGGGCGCTCGAACAGACCCGCCGTGTGGTTGTCGTTGTCGGGTGATGACGCAGTGATGCCGGGCGCTGTTCGGTGAGCTGGCCGCCCTGTTGTGATCAGTGTTCACTGTTCAGTGGGCGTCTCGGACCGCCGTGGTGCCGTTGGCGGTGGGAGCTGTTGTCAGACTTCGTTATGAAGATGTGACATTCTACTGACGTGTGTTGTCGATCGTCGTTTTGTATTGCTGGCCAGCACAGTTCGAATGCTGTCCTGTTCCAGAAACTAAGCTCACAGTTTTACCAATCCTGTCCCATCGTAGGTAAGTACATAGTGTTCCTAGAAGAAAATGTGCATCTGCTTTGCTGTATGAGGTGCGAATGGTATGACAATCATATATCTATGGCCAGTGTATCAGATATGTACTTGTATGTTATTGTTTGCTGTTTTACGTGAATGAGTCAATATTGCTCTATCGTCAGTTAGATCGTAAGGACGGCGGTATTTTCTAAACCGAATTTTAACATGCTGATAGCAATTACTGACCAGGAGGATGCTAACTAGTTTGTTGATACGTCATTGTTTTTCTCAATAAAACAATAAGCTTGTTATTAAAGATATCAATTTCATGTTATACATATATGAATTCAATCGCATATTAAAGCTCGCCTATGACTCGTTATCAAATTGGTGCTTGAATGACAAAACAATCTCTTGCTGCCGATGACTTCTTCCCGAAAAGTCGATGGCTGAGTGTCGGACTGCTCAAATGTCGAGGCAGCGCTACTGTTCTGAGTGTGCCCGCTGGCATTCTTTCGTACGCCTTTCCAGAGGCTCATTTCGGTGGCTGGCTCCTTCTGAAGTGGGCTGAAATAACGCCGATTCTCTGATCACTATCGTCGTGCTCGCTGTCCCGTGCTGGCGTGGCTAACCGTTGTTTTGATACCGTTGAGTGCATGATAAGCCATAATGTGGCATTGTGTGCAATGTGGATGTTTGCTGAAACATGTCATTGTAAATTGAATTGAAAAGACAACTTTATAAATGGAATATATATAGTATCATACTGTTACATATTGTTCGTTTGCCTCTTCGGACGTCAGTTGATGATTTTAGGTAAGTAATAGGCATAGGTGGAAGTTTGTGCCAAGCTAGCGGTGACCAAGCTCCCCAACTTCCACGCCGGCTTGGCTTTGGAGCTGCAACAGATGGCCGAGGTCAAGGTCACCGCTGGGGCGGCGGCGAACTTCTTTTGCGCCCGGGCACCCCCAGCTCGGCACAAAGTTCCGCCCGTGGTAAGAAAACTAAAATCTGTTAGACGTGAGATCACTGAGATGAAATATCGTCTTTGCCAAAGATTACCTAAAGTTACACGTACCTAAACAATAAAAAACATGTACCTAAAATTACACTTGCTTTAGAGGGGCAGCTTCTCAACTGCGACTCCTAACAGCGGCTAATAATGCGCCGTCACATTTCCCACTAAATGGCAAACGACTGATAATGTGACGCACACACAAACGCCGAGGGAAGACTTACAATACACATGATCAAATTCCTCCGTGACGAGATGTGAAGGACTGTTACATAACTGGCACGTAACCGGCCTTTGTTAACAGGTTTTGGTATGTCCATTTGTATTTGACGCCTGACGGGAGATGATTTATTCCAAAAGGCTCTTGGCATTTGAAGACATCCTGTGCGCCGATAAATCTCGAATACAGTCATCGCTGGACTAGTATCAGTTCATCACACAGTATCTCAGTCTCGCGCACGGAGCCTCATATGATAGTGGGATTTTATGAGTTATGGAAAATATGAATTCATCACTTATGTTGCCTCTCAACATCCTTCGTGTCCATTGGCCAATCGTTTTATCTCGCCTATCTCGTATCCCATTTATATCCCGTCGCCGCCTCTATAAATTTGTGGTTTTCCAATTGCCCGTTCTCCTTGCATCATTCTTGTTCACCTCCCACAATCCTCGTTCGCCTCCCGTTCACCTCTGTTCACCTCCCGTTCACCTCCCGTTCACCTCTGTTCACCTCCCGTTCACCTCTGTTCACCTCCGTCCACCTCCCGTCACCCCAGTTTGACTCCCATCACCCTCGATATATTGTTTTATAATTATTATGTAATATCCCATCACCCTCGTTGACCTCTCAACACCTCCCATCACCCCGTTCACCTTCCATCGCCCCCGCTCACCTCCCTTCGCCTCCGTCACCCCGTTCACCTTCCATCGCCCCCGCTCACCTCAGTTCACCTCCCGCCACCGCTGTTCACCTTTCCTCATCCCCGTTCACCTCCCGTCGCCCCCGCTCACCTTCCCCCATCCCCGTTCACCTCCCGTCGCCCCCGCTCACCTTCCCCCATCCCCGTTCACCTCCCGTCACCCCTATCCGGCTCTGGTCTGCCGCTCCGACACGGCCCGGCGGCTGATTCTCGGCTGTTCGGGTCCCGCCTCACAGACAGAAGCAGTGCGGCAGAGCCGGGATAGCGGCATTAACATCGACGGCACCCATGAATAATTAATTTATGGAGATTATCACGTGTGAGGTCGGCACACAATAATGACGGCGTCATCCGTTATCAGCCCCTTCACCTACCCGAAATGAGCACTTCGGGGCTCTAAAGCACGGAATAAGCAGTGCTAACTAGGCACATTACATCAAAATTGAATCGATGAAGGCAATTTTATTGTTTAAAATACAGCTCGGTCATACCTTTGATTTGAAATATTTCTAATAGGTTAGCGTTTCTCAACACATGTACGGAAAAATAAGGGAATGCTTGGAATAGAGAAAATTAGTAGTTACGGAACTATCAATATCAATAGCTGACTTTTTTCGGCGAGCTCCAATGCACAGTGATATCATTTACGGAAATTGAAATACCGATACCAAAGCAAATACCAATTAAAGGGAGATAATGAGCTTTCTTTTTTCTTAAATAAAAATTACTCAACATCTATACTATTTTTACTGTAGTTTCTATAAAATATGAAAATTTCCTAGCACATTTTCGTATGTGAAAAAGGTTTTTATTTTTGCAAAAAAGAAGCAGTACTTGCAGTACTTGTAACACCCACCGAAATGCGTTGTCCTTCTCTATAAAAAAGTCGCAGTATATGGCGCTTTTGTTTCAAACAGCGACGCTTGGGTTTTTGTTTATGTTATCGCCTTGTCGTTGCTTGGTTGTAAGGATTCTAATTTGAATTAGAGTTAATTCGGTTTAGAATTAATTAGATTCTTATTCGGGGGTACATAGTGCCTACTCTTCTTTGTTTCCAAGTATTATTTTGCGCCACAAATGAACGGCATGCGCCAGAAACGCAGCCAAATCTTGCGATTGCGACTACGAAATTCATTATTTTGGCGTCAGAGCCTGAAGCGAAAAATACAAGCATATTTATTTCAAAAAGACTTCAGGTTTGTCGAACGTTGTTATGAGAATTTTGATAACAGCACTGCATAAGTTTTTCAGTGATGCCGCAAAAGTGTTGTATCTATCTTCTTTTATTGTGCAGTCGGCGGGACCGATTCAAAATTGAGTCGTTGCTACTAAAATAGCAGCATATGGCGTCAGATGATGAACAGGAAAAATAGTTGCGTAAATTTAGACATAAACCACCCCCAAACCATGAATATCTTTTGAAGGCACTATAGACGACCATTAACTAACTAGATGTGATGAAGATGAAATGTAAGGAATACGCTCATTTTACAAAATTACATGCAAGTACCAAAAAGTGATGTAAGTACTTATTCAACGGTCATTTTCAGCGCTCCTCGCTAACGTGACTTCAAGTTGAGATATTTGTGGCAAGGTACCGAATTGAGCAAAATGGTTTTAATTTACATTATAACTTGTTGTGTTTTGTCAGAACATGGTCCTAACTCAAATTTTGTGGAAAAAGGTCATTATCTCCCTTTAAAAACCGTTGGAAAATATACTCAAACCAAACCAACTTGGAAACATGAGGGAAATAACAACTTTTTACTGATTTCTTAGCCTCTTATACATTAGTGAGGGTTCATGATATCTACCAACAAAATCCCAAACACATTAGGATTATTGAAATCCCAAATACCAAGTTGGTATCTGTTGGGTATCGATATACCAACAAGTTGGTATCCGATTGACATCTCTAGCACATAACACTTTGGAAAACATCTCAAGGTCTTTCGCCTTGTTATCTTTCCACAAACTATAAATATATTGACCTACTTCATTCTCTGCTCTGACCACACACCCCTTTAGCTCCGGTCCTGGTGAGAGCACGCCACAAATGCCGCTCCCGGCGTCACATTTGTCTCCCTAAGCACCTGCCTCATTTGTCCCCGAATCTGCGGCTCTGGCGGACGGCGTCGACCCTTGGGCGTCGATCCGACCCTGAGCTGACTCGGATGGGACTCGGTCTCCGATTTGACTCGGGAACGCGGGAACCAACCTCTCTTCCGTCTACAAGACACATGACCAGTTTGGATATCCGCTCGATACAGTGTCCATCTTTCGCCGGGTCCATTCCAATTCCTGCAGTCTGAGATACAGATCCCGGAGCGAGTATCGACCAGTAGCGGCGGACTCTGCCGCCGGCCGCTGACGATTGAACACGACAATGAAGAGCGCCGCCGATCCGGGCGTCATTTCGACGCATTGACCTTTGACGGACCGATTATGGCGGCCATTGACGCCGTCGGAGAGCGAGCGACGGACAGCTGCCCCGTCGGCAGAGTCGTTAGCGCGCCCATCCGCGCCAGCTTCCGTCCAGTCGCTCAGCGAGCGCCGGCGCATTTGCCACCGAGAGACGGGCCATCAGTCGGCCCGATTCGCGCCTCTCAGCCTCTAAGCTAAGCAGAGATATCCGGAATTGAATAACGGTGCATGTTGATCCTTGCGTTCTTTGATGTGAGTGAAAGTCAGCAGCACGCAGGGAAAGTTGGTGTAAAAGCATGTGATGATGAAGAGTTCAGTGCAAGGTCCTTCAGCGTACATAATTCGGGGTGATAACGGTAATCGACAATCGTTACTTCATTGGTTCATAATTCTTTTGGTTGGTAGCGAATCATGTTTTGTTAACTGTTGTATTTGCAGAATATCACGAACGAGGAAGTGATTATAACATATGCACTCAGGCTGGTAATAAGCAAGACACGGTCGCCCACCGTGTAGGTCGCCCACCGTGTACGATTGCAGAGCGGACGCCAGAAAAAAAGACGGTTGAAAGGCAGGTCGTTAAAAGCTGGTTTAGTTGCTACAGACAATCAACTAGTTAATCCCCACCGTTGTTATAGTTGAAATGCAGCAGTATGTGGTGACAGTCTTATCACATTTCAAACAATCTCGAAATATACCGTTGATATCCTAGTACCTAATGATGTAGGTAGTATCAAATGACATGCTGCCTGTGCGATGTCTAATAGCAGACTTAGTATTCCTTGCTTGTGTAGAGCTTCGTGCATCTGCTGCAAGAAATAATTAAATTTCAGCATGATTGATATATTTCTATATTGTTTGCCGGCCTCCTCGTATCGTCACCATAGGGCATGCCTGAATGAATACAAACCACTACATACCTGTCCTGCTAAAAATTGATAAACCGCATGTGTTACTTTTGTCGCATGAGGACAAGCTCCAAAGTTGAATCTGATAGCGACACAACTATCAATCCACTGTCAGTTTGGACGGTAACATGGTTGACAACGAGACCTACGCTCAATATCTTGCTTATCGTGATGCAACTCTGCCGTTACGGAGCAAATAACATTTGTCAAAGCCACAACAATGTGTACAATGGACGGCGGAAGCACAACTGGTCGTCAGAGCAGGTCTTGGTCGCGCCAGTTTTAGTTGCCTGAGCGCATATCACTTCAGGAGCGAACCATTCATCCAGCTTCGGGCGCCCCGGCAGACAGAGCAACGATTTATTTCCGAATGAATTTAGATGCAAGCTGGTGAAAGTGTACGGAAAACGATATTTATGCGGCCTTCTGTCTGGCGCGGTTTTAAATGGAGACGAATTTTATGCTCCAACAGTTGGGTGATCAATCATTTCCGCCAAAATATGCGTG